CGGTTATGGGCAGATGGGAATTTGTTAACGTCCGGTTGTAGAAAACCCGAAGTTAACCTTATTAAAATACATCAACCGTGTGTGTAACCGTGATGGTCTCTTTCCGGCGGAGTCCGGGAAGTGAACACGGTGTTGGAGTTATGCTTGACGTAGGTTGCTATAGGATCACTTCTTGATCATACTTTTATCGACCGTGCTTTGCCCTCTCTTCTCGCTCTCTTTTGCGATTGTAGCCACCACATATGCTAGTCGCTTGCTGCAGCTTCACCTCATTACTCCATCCTTCCTATGAGCTTAAATAGTCTTGATCTCGCGGGTGCGAGATTGCTGAGTCCCCGTGGCTCACAGATACTTCCAAAACCAGTTTGCAGGTGCCTATGTTACCGTGCGGATGACGCAACCAAGCTCAAGGAGGAGCTCGATGAAGATCTTGCCCTTTGTGTTGTTTCGTTCTAGTTGATCAGTAGTGGAGCCCAGTTGGGGTCGATCGGGGACCTTTGTCGCATGTGGAGTTCTTCTTTTATTTTGGTTCCGTAGTCGGACCTTGATTGTATTTGGATGATGTAATGCTTTATTCATGTAATTGTGTGAAGTGGCGATTGTAAGCCAACTATGTATCTCTTTCCCTTATGTATTACATGGGTTGTGTGAAGATTACCTCACTTGCGACATTGCTTTCAATGCGGTTATGCCTCTAAGTCGTGCTTCGACACGTGGGAGATATAGCCGCATCGAGGGCGTTACAGCATATGTAGGTTTAAACATCCATAATGTATACTAAGTGTGCAACAGTCAAAAAGTATAATTCAGCTACAATATCAACACTGGAAACTCTAGTTCTCACAACAGAGATTCAAATGTTCATGCAGAAAAATATCAATAAGCTGAGTACTCCCAAAATGAGCGACAGTGGAAAGTAGCATTGCATAGAATGATAGAAACAATTTGTGGGGCATGATGGTTTCTGCAGCTTGCGAGCATATAGGCACAAAAGAAGCTAAAGCACTGATGAGAAGCTACTGGGAAATTAGTGTTTGTGAAATGGATGAAGGAATGTCATACACATATACTATTTGTAGGCAAAGGTAATTTGTCCCATGAAAACTGAACACACATGAGTCATTATGGCTAGATCAATCAACCATCATATAAATAAAATGTCAACCCCCCTCATAAAACGTATAATGGGTAGTATGGACTTTTCACAAATTGTATTAACTTTCCTACATAGAACGTATATACGCTGTAGGTTTATATCCCTCCCTGGTGGGCTCAGCCCATTTACGTTTTTTTAGTTTTATTTGTCAAAAAAATGGACGCCCTCAGCTGTATTCGAACCACAGACCACACGCGCTCCCTGTAACCACACAAACCATCCGGGACAGCACATCAGATTTGCTTTCTTGGCTTGTTTTTCACTTCTTGTGCCCAAGAAGAAAACACAGCACCTCCACTCTTTAGTTTATGTCTCTCTTTTTTTGCACGGTTTTCTTTAGGCTTTCTAGTTTTCCTGTTTTGTTCATAAAATACTAATATTTGTATTTTTAAAAATTGTACATAAATTTCAAAACAAATGTTCATGCCTTTCAAACATGCTCAGAATGTCAAAATACGAACATTTTTTTAAATAAAAAAATCCGAACACGAACATTTTTTGAAAAAAGTAAAAAAAAATGGAATTCCAGAAAAAACAGAAAAATATGAATAAAATTTGAATTCTGAAAAAAATGAGAAATAGAAAAAATAAACATAATAAACAAAAAGTCTAAGAAGACAAACAAATAAACACAAGAGAAGATAAAAAGAAAAAGAAAAACATGGTTCACGATATCCGAGAAGGTCCCAAAAGAGGAAAAAATGGCTGGGAACCCAAGGTTCCCAAGACTGAGAATTTAGTTTTGCAAATTTCATAGTGAACTTTGTTTTGATTTTTTTGTGAAAATATTCAAATCCATGAATATTTTTAAAACAATTGATGAACTTTTCAAATCCGTGAGCTCTTGGACCGGCCCAACACGTGCCCGACGAGAGCAATGTCGTCGCCTAGTTGGGCCAAGGCCTAAGCGTTTTATTTTCTTTTCTATTTTTTCATTTGATTTCTTATTTTGCTAATTCATTTTTCTCTTTTTTTGAATACTAAAATACAAGTTGTAACTAAAATTTTAAACTAGGGATTTAATAAAAATATAAAATAATTATTAAATGTTTTAAAAAACACTTACTGTTTTCAATTTTATCCCTTTGTATTTATTAGTTGGGGTCATTTCAAGGATGTCCAAAAAACACCATGTTCGACGGAGATTATTCGGTAAGGTTAGAACGGTTCATCTGAGAGCACGTTATTTTTCAACATATTTGAAAACTGGTCAATTTTGGGAAAAGAAAGTTCACTGATTTGAAAGAAAAATTCAAGAATTTGAAATTTTTTCGTCATTTTTGATTAAAAAATCACAAATTATAAGAACTTCACGCATTTAAGAAACAAAAAACAAATGAAAAAAACAACCAAAAAATGTTGCGCTTTTCCAGTGTTGTATTTCAAATATAAAAAAACTTAGTTGACACTAGAGGTCCGATTGCCTAGCTGGTTATTGCGGCTGTGCTAATTGTTGAAGGACCTAGGTCCGAATCCTACAGCAAGCACCTTTTTTGCGGTTTCAAAAAAAAGAAAGGATGAATGTGCTGAATGGGCCAGCCCAGCACGGCAGGGTGTGCACGTCCGTTAATGTACAGCGTATACGTGATTTAAAAAAAAGAGTTTATAAAAAATGCCTATCATGCCCTTACTTATGAAGAGGTATGGACTAATCTGAGCCGTCCTTGTGTTTAGGGGGGTGTACCGAAGCAGAAGTGAAAGAAGAATTACCTCAACAGCCCAGCTTAGATTACAGATGCACCACATGTGTTGCATATTTCCCATCTCTGTTTGCCATATCTTGATCATATATGAAAACAATAGAAGATCTTTTCTCTGAAAATCCCCTAACGAAAAAGTGATTCGTCATAAGAAGTCACGTCCGCGTACGTGAGGCCCGCGGGTTGAAAGCTGACTGTGGCTGAGGCTTTGCATGACCACGCATGGGTAGACGGGATTCGCGGCGCGCCGACGGTTCCTGCCATCGCGGAGTTCCTTCTGATCTGGAAGGAGGTGCGGACAGTCGGCCTATCCGTCTCCCTTGATGCCTTCTCCTGGCGCCTTGGCGCAGCTGGCCGGTACTCATCCCGCGAAACTTACGCCGCTTTCTTCCTCAGGAGGGAGTATGCACCTTGTGCTGAGGAGATCTGGCGTTCTTGGGCCCCTCTTGAGGTAAAAAAATTCGCCTGGCTCGCCATGCGGGCAAGGTTATGGACGGCCGATAGGCTTGCTCGGCGGAACCTGCGGCACACACGGGTTTGCCAGCTCTGCTGCTAGCAAGACGAGGACACCACACACATGCTCCTGGGCTGCCCCTACGCGTGCGAGGTTTGGTATAACATGCTACTTCCCATGGGTCTACATCGATTCACACCGGTTGGCACGAAGGGTTTAGCGGACTGGTGGTCATAGTTGGCGGAGGCAGGTACGGTTAGGCACAGCAGACGAACGAATGTAACTCACTCTGTACTGTGACTCCCTTTCTCTCCTTACTTGAAGCGCTCCTGCATGTTCTTGAAAAAAGAGAGAAGTCACGTCCCAATGTTCTGAAAACATTCATCATAATTAGTTAAGACCAGTCCCAATGTTCTGAAAACATTGATAAAACAGTTATGCTTCTGAAGGGTCTGAACTGAAGCATACAATAAAATGGCCGAAATTGCACCATCTATCCATTGTGGCCCTAAATCCTAATGAAGCTTCAAAAGCCAAAGCATGAGAAAACTGTAGAACAACAATCTAGTCTGTAAATAGCATATCTGAACAGGGTTTGACAAAAGGCATGTTGCTTATTCCAGAATATAACATACATAGTATAGCAGACAACCACCATTCAGTCGGGCAAAGAATGTCAAATCAGGAATTACCAGCTTAATACAGAGAGTGAAATCAGGGTTACAGCAAGCATTTTCAAGGTTCAGTACCGCGTTCCCAGTTCATGTAAATCTGAAACTAGTTGGCATTTCCCCTCTGCAGGCAGCAGCATAGTCTTCAACGAGGTGCAGTGCAGCTACCTCTCCATGAATTCCTTCTCAATCAGATTGAAAATGGTATGCCAGCTCGGAACACGCTTGACCAATCCATTTTCCTTGAGAAACTTGATGACGCAGTACCGGGGCCTGAGACGGCCCTCTAGGCTGTAACTGATAATTACCGGCCGTTGAGCAATGTAGGCCGGTTCCAACCCCACCTCAGAGAAAAAGAACTCGGAACTGCGCCGCAGCGATTCCTTTGACTTCCTCAGCACCCCAGGAGCATTAGACACGACAATGCCCGCCTCAGCATCTGACCACCTGAACACGGTCCATACATAGAGAGAAACCAGAAAAGAAAACGCAAAACACGCATACATGCATGCATGCTTCCACAAAAGGGTTACCACATACCTTTGTGGGGCTCTGGTGACCTCACATTCATTGTTGACCGCTTATGACCTCACATTCATGGGAGAGATTTCCTGACCTCAGATTGTCTCTATAAAAGCCTATCACCTCTATGAATCATGTGTCTCCACCATTTCAAATCCTCCGCGCGCCTAAGATACCACTTGAGAAATTACTAATGGCCAACGGAAAGAATGTCGTGGCCATGTTATTTCTCACCACCATTGTGGCGGTGGCGGCCACAAGGCCAGCCGACACCTATGGCGCTGCGGAGGAGAACACATTGAAGATGGCTACCCCCAGCAGGAAAGGGGTTGACGCTACCTTAGCAGCTACACGTGTTGTTGCCGCCAAGAAGTCCATGAAGAAGGCTGAAAGCGCCACCACACCAGAAGAGGCCGCGGCTGCCAAGCAAGATGGAGCAAAATCTGCTTCTGCTGCATTAAAGTACAATGCCATCTCTCAGCAGGCAATTGGTAAAGGTTCTTCTACCTCCCCAAGCAGGAAAGAAGCAGCCGGTACTTTAGTCGCCACACACTATGCTGCCGCCGAGAAGTCCATCAAGAAGGCCGAAACCGCCACGACACCTGAAAAGGCCGTGGCTGCCAAGCGAGAGGCAGCAAAGTCTGTTGACGATGCATTAAAGTATGGTGCCGTCTCTCAGAAAGCAGTTGGTGCAAGTTCTTCTACCTCCCCCAATAGGAAAGAAGCCACCACTGACTTAGCAGCTATGCACATTGCTGCTGCTAAGATGTTCACCAAGAAGGCCGAAACTGCTACCACACCTGAAGAGGCCGCGGCTGCCAAGCGAGCTGCAGCCAAGTCTACCGCTGCTGCATCAAAGTATGATGTCATTTCTCAGCAAGCAGCCAGTACAAGTTCTTCTACCTCCCCCAATAGGAAAGAAGCTGCCGGTACCTTGGCAGCTGCATGCATGGCTGCTGCCGAGAAGTCCATAAAGAAGGCTGAAACCACCACCAGACCTGAAGAGGCAGCATCCGCTAAGAAGGATGACGCGAAATCTGAGGCTGATGCAATGAAGTACGGGGCCATCCCTCAGCAGGCCGCCGGTAAAAATGGTGCCTAAGTGGTGCCTTAAACACCTATTCACGCGCAACATCATCTGCGTACTACCATGCATGCAAAATAGCAGCATTGAGATATCACATTATGCTAGTTCTCATGCATGCACGCTTTGTTTAAACGTTCCCATTACGAATCATGTATCAATTTCTTGCTTGTTTTACTTTCATTAGTAAGACAGGCTTGACTTGCTTTAAAAAAATACAACGACCGATGTATACATGTATTATCTGAAAACTAATAATATGAGTTCCACCGCAATTTGGGTCTTTTTGTCATAATTTGGGTGCAATCAATGCACACATCCAATACACAAAATTGGATGAGTCAATCCATGGAGAGGCATAATGATATACGATATATCTTCACTACTTCAAAAAGAACTTAAGGTTTCATCATACATCTGCCCTTCATTCAACCTCCCTACCAATTGTTAGAAGGAAAAGAGGGGATTTGGTGGAATAGTTGTTCGTTGTATTGCTTGAGCCTCATGGGCATATATATAGGAGTACAATCATCTACTTGGAGTACAAGACAAGCCAGAACAAATCCTAGTCTGTCTCGTCTTTCCTAATAAAGTCTTTCCTAATAAACGTTATACTCAACATCCCCCCGCAGTCACAACGGTACCGACGCAGACGGTGAGACTGGAGAAGAATCCGAAGGTAAGCCGTCGGACACCCTCCCACAGTCGTAACGGTCGACGCGTCGCGGAGTCGTGGCTGGAGTGGCAACCGACGAGGTTTCTCAAGCAAGGCGGTAGCCCTTTTTGCCGTTTGTCGAGGTAGCCGAGAGCATGTGGTGGTGGAGCCGTGGTCGAGGTAGCCATGCGACAAATGCCGTGGTCGATGTCGAGTCGGGGTGGCCGGTGTCGAGGAAGTCGCCGTGGAGACGCGGGCGCAAGGAGGCGCCGAGTTAGCCATGGCACAGTGGTGTCGAAGTAGTGGTGCGCCGGGAAGAAGATGTTGTTGACGACGCGTCGCGGCGGGCTTGCCAAGCCCAGGGACACATCGTGGACGAAGGCATACACCGGTGTTGCCAGCACCGGGCATGCGTAGACGGACGAAGACGAAGTTGACGAAGCGCCGACCAGGCTTGCCAGGCCCGGGGACACGTCGTGGATGAAGGCACGCATTGGTGTTGCCAGCACCGGACATGCGTAGACGAGGGACCTGCACGAGCTGTACGCCATGTCGGAGAAGTCGGAGGGGCCAGCAGAGAAGAACTCGACGACGATTGCGGCGTCCATCGGCGCGGGGCCGATGTCACCAACGGTGGTCGGAGTAGATGAAGTGGTCGGGGTAGATGACGGCGACGCTGGCGACGGGCTAGTGCTTGGACGAAGACTAAGGAGGTGGACGGGCGGCGGCGGCGGCTACGAAGGTAGCGACGGTGGCGGCCAAAGAAGAGCGGCGGCTAGGTTAGGAGTGCGGCGGCGGTGCTCGAAGTAGGCGAAGAACCCTGACAGCGTGACGAAGACTGACGCGGACGGTGGTGTTCCCGCGCCAAGGGAGACGGCGCGGCGCATACCACAGAAGATCGATGCGCGGTCACGGCGGAGTGGACCGCGGGCCGCGGCGCTACGGCCCAAAGGGGCGACGCAGCGGCGGCAGGCGGGTCGGGACGACGGCGGGAAGACCTCGTGGCGGCGGCAGGGACCGCGGGCCGCGACGCTGCGGCCCGAAGGGGCGACGCAACGGCGGTTCGCGAGTCGGTGCAACCGCAGGGACGGCCTCGGGACGGCGACGTGGACCGCGTGCCACGCTCGCTACGGCCCGACGGGGCGATGCAGCGGCGGCACGAGGGTCGATGCAGCCACGGGACGGCCTAGAGCGGACGCCCTCGGGGCGGTGGGGGACCGCGGGCCGCGGCACTACGGCCCGAAGGGGCGACGCAGCAGTGACGCAGGTCGGTGCAGCCGGGAGAAGAACCACGGGGCGGCGGCGCTGCGGCCCGACGGGGCGACGCAGCGGCAGCCCGATGCTCGATCGGTGGAGAGGCGCGCTGAACTCGGGGACGATCTTCACGGGACCTGCGGAGGCGCGCGTCACCGACGGGCCAGGTCGGCCGCGCGGCGTAGATGAGGCGGATCGCGGCGGCGAGCGGGTGATCAAGCCGATCGCGCGCGAGGTCGGGGACGCCGCTCGGTGGAGGCGTGGGCGAAGTCCGAGATGAAGCCGGCGGGGACGGGCGGCAGGGCGGCTATGATTGGCGCGAGGCCGCCGGGTCGGGGTGATGCAGGAGTCCCAGTCGGAGCAGGGCGATCATGGCCGGCGTAGATCGACGAGTGGGCCGTCACGCGAACGGCGGCGGTGAAGGACCGCCGCATGACGCGAGGCCGCCGGGTCGGGGCGACTGGCGGGCCGACGCGCGGACGACGCGCGAGGCCGCCAAGTCGGGGCGGCCGACGGGCAGACGCGCGGACGACGCTCGAGGCCGCCAGGTCGGTGAAGAAGCCGGCCAATCGCGCCGGTGTTGGAGTAGAGGCGCACGGGGTCGACGGCGGCGGTGGGCGACGCAAACCGGATCACATAGACCGGAAAACCAAAAAGTAGAGAAAACCCGGATCAAAGGATCGGGAAAAAAGACTCTCTAGGGCAGCCGACCAACACGGCCGGTGGACGAACCCTAGGTACGGGCGGCGCGGCCCGAAGGAAAAGAGGGGATTTGGTGAAATAGTTGTTCGTTGTATTGCTTGAGCCTCATGGGCATATATATGGGAGTACAATCATCTACTTGAAGTACAAGACAAGCCAAAACAAATCCTAGTCTATCTCGTCATTACTAATAAACGTTATACTCAACACCAATCCTTCCTGTTTTGATTTTTTTTCTCCCGTCTTTGATTTTTTTTCTCCCCATCGATTCTACCTAAAAACTGCCTCAAATGTCACATGATTACTGTATATGTCAAGTGGTTGTGATGAGACGGTGGCTGGGTGCTTCAGATTTATTCCAGCAACTGACTGTCAAATTGAGTCAGTAACCGATTATCGTTACCGGCCACAAAGTTATATTTTCTTGTCTTAACGAAGGGTTGCATACAATGCGTGTAGGTCTTGACGCTAACATTGTCAACTCCACGTACAATCAATCAATCACAAATCACGAGTTTTTTGTTCATCAACCTTGTGTATTTTTTTACGGAAAGAACCTCAAAAATTAAAAATATGTCAAACAGTGATCAGGCGCACATGATATATTCTCCCTAGTGGGCGAGACAAGGGGTGCGTCAATGGGCGATGGGTCGAGGTAACAAAGCATGAATACGAGAAGGATTCAAAATATTGAATTTTTAAATATGATTAAAATGCACAACCAATTTTTGAACTAGCGTGTGCCGGTCTCTTATGTTTGTGGAACTTTAGATCCTTGTAGTTACAACTCAAATATCACCACCCATCAGGCATTTCTGCTATCCATCTTACAAAAACGGAACAAAAAGAAATCGATGCCCATCAGCATTATGACACTAGTTTTTGGACACCCATCAGCTGCAGCTATACGACAAATAACAGAATTCTTCCCGTGTCGATCTCCGCGCAACATAAGAAAGCCGGCACATTCTCACTAGTAGAAAAGGGGGCAATGGTCCAGGCCGGGTCAGCCCATTAGTCCCGGTTCAGTCCAGAACCGGGACACATGGGGGCATTGGACCCGGTTCGTGTGCCCCGGGGGTCGGCCGGGCCACATGGGCCATTGGTCCCGGTTCGTCTGGACCTTTTGGTCCCGGTTGGTGGGACGAACCGGGACCAATGGGCCTCGTTCCTAGCCCACCACCATTGGTCCGGTTGGTGGCTTGAATCAGGACCAAAGGCTGCCCTTTAGTCCCGGTTCATGCCACGAACCGGGACCAATGAATTGCCTATATATACCCCTCGTCCGCGAGCAGAGCACTCCCACTGCTCTGTTTTTCCTGGGCGGCGAGGGGAGAGCTTTGTGGTGCTCTAGCTCACCTCCTATGCAAACGAGGTGTTCGATGGAATGCCCGAGCCACACTACTAAAGCTTTCTCCTCTCCAAGCTCGACCTCCAAGCTTCATTTTTCTCAATATTTGTCTAGGTTTAGCGGTCCGTCACGTCGCGTCCCCGTCTTCACCGCCGTCAATCGCCCGCGCCGATCTCGTCGCCGGCACCACCGTGGTGAGCCTCTTGTTCTTATCTTCTTTCTGAAACGAAAAAAATTCTTACTTGTATGTTTATATAGGTACTTGTATTATTTTCTTACTTTTATTATTGCATCTTATATAGTGCGATGGTTTTGGTATCCGCCCCCGTCGGCCCTCGTCATGTCTATGATTCGGATGAGGTATATATTATCTTTTCATAACTATTGGTTCATTTATTGTTTATGAAAATTATGCCGACCAACTTGACATAGATTTTATTTATCTAGGAGGTTGTTGAACCGTAAATTCCAACCGACCCTATTGTCGAGAGGTTAAATTTAGTTGAAGAAGAAAATAATTTCTTGAAGGAAAAAATAAGAAAAATTGAGGAGGAGAAGATGATATTGGAGTTGCATGTTGCGGATGTCGTCGATGATCACAAGATCAAGATGGATGCAATGGGCTTGAAGATTAGAAAGATTAGAAAATATGTCATTCATACCGAGGCTTGGTATCATTATGCCGTTGGATGAGTTGTTACCTCGGTTGCGATTATGATCGCATTTGTTTTCGCATTGAAATGTTTTACATAGTTTCAATGTATCGTTTAATTAATTTAGATGCTCTGCAGAGCTTTATGTTGTTAGATGAGAACTATGTATGTACTTTGGTTTTAATGTCATGATGAACTTCTATTAATTTGGTCACTTAATTACCTATTCATGATGCTCTGTAATGATTTTTGACACACTTAATTATATATAATGCACGCAGATGAACCGACAATGGATGTATGGTGAAAGACACACCTCCGAGTACATTAAGGGCGTGCATGATTTTCTCTAAGTGGCTGAGGCAAACAAGCAGAACGGTTTTATGTGTTGTCCATGCCATAT